GGACGGAGGGGGGAGGACCTTGGAGTTTCCACAGGGCAGGGAACCCTTACTGCTCTTTGGACTAGAGAGGGAGGGGGAGAGGCGTGGGGGGAAGGGGAGAGGAGTGGGGGAAGGGGGAGAAAGGTGGGAGGAGGGGGAGGGAAATGGGAGGCTGGGAGGAGGCAGAAACTTTTTTTTCTTTTCCTTTTCTCAATAAAAAAAATAAATCAAAAAATTAGGCACCAAGAAAACAACCCAATAAAAATTGTGGCATGGCTCTGATAATTCTCACAAAATGAAATACAAACTGTGGAGAAACATTTTTGAAAACATGTTCAACATACTTAGGTATCAGGGAAATAAAATTTAAACTTCTATAATATTTCATCTTACCCTTACAGGAATAGCTTAAATAAAATAATAAATAAATGAATAAACAGCAACAAATGATAACAAATGCTGGTATGGATGTGGAGAAACAGGAGCAATTATGCACTTCTTGTGGGGATATGATCACTACAGAAATAAGTGTGGAGGTTCTTGCATTGCTGGAAGTAGATCTACTATAAGATCCAATGCTACCACTCTTGGGTATATACACTAGGAAGTCTGTATGCTACTATCGAGACACATGCAAGTCCATGTTTATTGCTGCTCTATTCAAATTTGCCGTAGTTTCTGTGAGTTCATCTGTTGTATCTGGAAGATATTATATCCTTGGAGTCTTCTACAATGCTACAGTGTACAATGTACAAAAGCTGTACAAGTTCAAATAAGAAAAATCCAGCACTGAGAAAGGGAAGTGGACACAAAGTTCTACCCCTAGACAAGAAGCTATTTGCAATGTATACCTGCTAAGAAAGAAAAAATTAATTTTCTCCCATGATGTTTCACTGGGTGTATCAAACACCCACAAGTCAGGACTCATGCCCAGAAATAGTTGGAGAACAGAAAATGGATAACTTATTTTTTTCAGTTATTAATTTGGTATTAGATTTTGTTTTATTTTCTTTCATTTTTGAAATTTTGTCTTCTTGTATATGTGTTTGAATTTTTACTTTTGTCTTTTGAAAACTGAGGGAGAGATAGAAAAACAAAGAGAGGAAAGAGGGGGAAGAGCATAAAGTTGTGCAAGTAGGGAAGTGGGAAGGACCTGGAAGAAGTTTGGGAAGAGAAAAACATGATCAAAATAAATCATATAAAAATTAAATGAAAATGGTACAGCTATGAAATGAGAAGGTAAATGGATGGAGCTGAAAACAATCATGGGTGAAGTAACCTGGAGCAAGAGAGAAGAAGCCGTACCTTTTCTATTATTTGTAGATGTTGGCTTTGAATCTTTAGATTTGTGTGTTTCGTTTGATAGGCTATGGTTATTTAATGGTTGATAGGAAATAAAAGAATGAAAAGGGTAAAATAGAGAAGAAATTAGGATGACTATGTAAAGAGAGAATATGGGGAGGGATAATTAATACTAAGGGCATTCCAAAGAGTCAGACAGAACTCTAATAGTATAGAAGCTTCCTGAAGTATATGCATGCACACATATAAGGAGTCTAAATGGAGTTGCTATATAATGGGGCAGCAGTGCCTCCCTAGACACCACTAGATGACAAATAAATGCCAGCACCAGGAACAGATTATTTCTTTTGGAGCTATTTACAAGTAATGTACCATTGACTTCCAAACAGTACTGCCTATTTCCATTGTATTGGGTTACCCTGTAGAACTTCTTGGTTAGATTTGTATTGCTGAAGATACCAGGCACTTGAGCCATAGCACATGGGGAGGTAAACTGACACTCAGCTGGAAGTTTCATCCCTTCTGGCTGGCTTTCAGAGTGCTGGAAGGTGCTATGCATGCTACCGGAGGAGGAAAGCAATCACAAATCTTGTTCTGCTGCTAACACTTTGAATTACAACGATGACTGGTCTGGTAACACATGTTCACTGATGCAATAGTAACACAAACTCCTGGTGTAATACTCTCAGAGAACTAATATAAATTAGAAAAGATACAAGAGAGAAGGCAATTTTAGAAAAACACCTAATTAGTCATCAAGTTTGTAGATTGATAACGATGATGTCCCCTGGTTGGAACTTCCTTGTAGGAAACACACATTACTCAGTAACCCCCCTCAACTAAAGTCCATTAGTTGTGTATGGTACAATTTGGGAAATATTTTTATCCAACCAAGAAGAATATGGAAAATTCAGAAACCCAACATGAGAGCTGCAGTTTCAAGAAGAGACCAATTGCTTCCATTGAGACCTTGGTCTCTCTGAACTGCCTGGTTTGTATTTGGATCAGCTTTCCTTTGGAAATGAGGAGAAAAATAAGGACCAAGATGTAGGTCAGGCTAAATCGATACATACTTGTAGGAGGTTCTTCTGGACCAGGTTTATTATAACCTAGAAAATACAAGACATGTTAGAGGAGGGAAGAGCAAGGGAACGGATTCTGCATTCTTTGGCCTATATGGTACCAAACCACACCTAAAAAGATTAGTGAACATCTATTCATGTTATAAGATCTGACAAATCATAATGGAGAAGGATTTCTTGGTATTTCAACTATACCCATCTCTATGTCCCCAATAGATTCTTATAAAACATATCTCACACCTTACTTCCACAACAATATGCCTCAATACACACCATTATTTTTTATTCTGCCACTAGATATCCATCCAGAATATCCTTATTGACCATTTACTATGAGTTGTATTCCATTTTCATTTGAAGTATATTACACAAATAGACAATGATTAAAAAATACAGTGTCCATGTTCCCACCATAGTTCACATTAAGAAGCAATACAGATGAGAGTTATTTGTTCTTTGCATCATGAATAAGGTACGGTTTATAGCAAATGCTTATTGAAAATGAAAACAGACTGAAAATCATACACAAATCCTTGTGATGGTTTAGTGATTGGATATAAAATGCAGAATGACAAAATTTCAATCAGTCAAAACTCAGTGTAGGAAAGGCATGCGCCTTTTCAGATCTGTGCTTTGTTTGCTTTCTTCATGAAATTCAGAATAATATGGATGCATTGTATCTCCTTGCCCATTTCATAGGGTATTATTGTTAAAATGACTTGGCAATTGACAAGACATAAGCTCATTGAATTGACTAGTCTCTGAACATTTCTTCAAGAAATTCTCTATATCTAGTTACTTAGGGTGAACAAACCAAGAGTGAATAAACCATAAACTTTGGGATGCATTCTTGGAAGTATAAACAACAAGGAGTAGAAAAGAAGTTCAGCAAATATACTCATTTCTTTCTGCTTCCTGACTTTGTACACAATATACCAATACCTCCTTGTCTGACTATTTTTATGTGCTCCATGAATTCTGGAAAAGAGGTTCTATGAACCTAAAATAAACTGTTCTAGACAGCGTTATCAATATAATTGATAGAGGTAAAAAAAATGGGTGGCTGAGGACATTACACAGCAACTAGATATCATGCTCACCATTCACATGTAAACTTTCTTTGTCCAGTGAATAGTTGCCCAGCTGGGTTATTCCATGGGTCAGGTTGCTCAGCTCTGAGTACAATTCCTGGGTGTCCAACACAGGATGTGCAAGGTCATACAAGTATGTGCAGATGACTTCTACACCAGTGGCAGTTCCATTCTTCTCAGGCCTAGATCAAGAGGAATAGAGACATAGATAGGAATCAGAAGGAAAGCAAGCAAGAAGAGAGGCAACAATAATAGTTTTTTGGCTAGTGCACACCTGAGAGAATCCAGTCTGCAACTTGAGTTGAAAGAACCATTATGGAGCAATGGTTCCATCTGGGAAGAAAAACAAAGAAAATAATGAAAATAAAATTTGGATAGAGTTGGTAGATGTGATTTATCCAAGCAGAAACTACTGGAATGAGGGTCTCACCAGATTCTTTAGGAGGGTCTCAGTGGAGTTGAACACAGCTGAGCCATTGTTCATATATGCTGAATATGGGAGGTTGGAAATAGTGAAGCTGACTGATACAGTTTTCAAGTGGTGCCCCACAGCTGGAAGAGATGAGAAGAGATTTTACCTGCAAGCACACTGGAATACAACACTCATCAAGTCATATCTCCTTTTGCTTCTCATCTACCAACATACCAAGCCTACCTACAACCTGAATATCTCATTTCTATGACACATCCAACTTACCTTTCTGAATGATCCTAACATACTTTGTGTGTATTTTCCTATCATAACAGTATGTTCTCTTATTCACATGATCACCCTATCAGTCTCACAAGATATATTGTCTAAGGGACTTTTTCTACACTGAACTTTAGAGGAGTATTCTGAAAAGAAAGTCTCACTGGGACTGTCCTGTAACTTCTACAACTCATAGATCTTTGTTCAGTTTCAGTTTTCAGTTTGAGTATTTTGATTTGTCTTTCAAGGCCCCTTCCAATCTGGTTTCTATTGAACTTTTAGCTTTGGTTATCATAAATCTGGACCTACCATCCTGTCTTTACAGGCTCTGGATTAGAAATGCAAAGGCTATATTGGGAGATGAACTTTATGCTCCATGGATGTCAAATTCCTCTCATTTATCCCAGTATACTATGTTTTTCTAGGTCAAACAGCCCTCGTTGTTGATATCATTTAAGTTATGTTATTTAAGTCATAATAAGTATGAGTCAGTATGAGAGATGCAAATCAGGATGAACTGTCTCTAGAAAGTCCTTTAATATTTATATCATGTGAGATGCAGCCCAAGCCAAATTCCTCACTGCAGTGCAGTTGTCTGTATACCTTGCAATCCCAGTGGTTGTATGAGGCTTGGCAATTGATTGAATTGCTACTATAGTCTTTGTGTCTGATGATGGCTATGGAACTAGGTTCTTCATATCCTTCCATTTAGATCTTATATGCAAATCAGAATGGTGGGACAAAGATCTTATAAAAATAGAAACAGGTTCTCTGATACCTGTGGTGGATTCTGTTTGCACAGGTATTGTTGGAGAAGGCAGCATGGTAGTGGCTGATTTAGGATGTGTGGAAAGGGATGTCATCAGGGATGAGAAAATCCCCATGTATTTAGAGAAGCCCATGCAGCAGTAGTTCAAGGCAGAGCAACCATTTGTATGTAGATAACACTCAAAAGGGTTCAAAAGAGAAAATGTGTGATAATGTTGAAAAAGCCTGTGAATAAAGTTAACTCAGATAGTGAGAGTGGTTGGCCAGAGAAAGGTGGGCAGTAATTGAATTGCTAAATAGTTAAGTAAGAAGAAGAAAAGATTGTTGAAGGGTCAACCCAAAATTTAATAATGATAATAAGTATTTGGAGAAATAAAAGAAAAGAAAGAGGGAACAAATAACATGTAAGTAAAAGAGCATGATGAATAGTGGGGAAGTTCACGGACTGAGAGATTTGTGTTAGGGTAAGTGTGTGTATGTGTTGGGGTAAGTATATGCATGGGGCTGGAGAGATGACTAAGTGGTTAAGAGCTCTGCCTGCTCTTTCAAAGGTCCTGAGTTCAATTCCCAGCAACCACATGGTGGTTCACAACCATCTAATCTGGTGCCCCACTAAGGAAAAGACCTCGTCAATTATTCTCAGTAAGTTAGATCACGAAACCCCATATGAACAAGTTCAACAGAACTGTCATGTGCTGGCATGCCCATGCATGTTTCATCATTGCCAGGGCATAAATTTCATTCATTCATCCAAGTATATGCATGAGTGGGTAGCTGAATAGGTGGGTGGATATTGGTTGATGGGCAGGATGGTAAATGGGTGGATGGATGGTTTGATAACTGAATGAATGAATGATGGATGGATGGATGAGTGAAGAGGTGATGAATGGATGGATACATGTACATATGGATAGACAGATGTACAAACAAGAGAAAAAGAAAAGGAGTGGATGATAAGCACACATACAGATGAGAAAATGTAACGAGGTACATAGTTGAATAAATTGACAAATATCTAGGTACTGAATACATGGGTAGGTGGTTGAATGGAGGGTAGGTAAACGAGTGGATAGGTATATAGGGGGATGATGGATGACTGTGTAGAAGTGTGTGGTGTATGTGTATATATGTGTGTGTGTAAGATGCAAAAGAGGTAAAAATAAAAGTTAGCAAATGGAGAGAAATATGATTGCATGGATAAATAGTGGATGGATGGAAGTCTAGAAGAATAATTAGAGAAGGAATGATAAAAAGAAATGAAGAAATACAGTATAATGGAAAAGAGAATGGATGGATGAATAGGTGGGTAAATGGATGGATAGATGACTGAAAATGCAGTTCTGGATGAACAGTAACTAGTAAATGAAAGAATTGACAGAAAGGTATATGAGTGGGATACTGAATGAGTGGGCTATTTTATACAAACACTTTAGTAGACATCAAAGTGTGCTACTTAGCCCCTACTACATCCTCAATAGCATTTGTTTTAGGCAACATAAACTAGTCTCTGAATTAATTCAGCTTAATAATACCATATAAAATAATTGTTCATTTTTTTTTCTTCTGACTCAGAGGACTGAGGAAAGTTCAGAAATTCAGCACCAGGGCTTGAGACCCAAAAAGAGGCCACCAACTCTCTTTCCACTGAGTCTCTGGCCCCTTTCCAGAGACTAGCTTGTGTTTAGGACAAGCTTCCTTTAGAAATGAGGGGAAAAGCTTGGACCAAGACCTAGATCAGGATAAACTGATACTTACTTGTTGTTGATTCTTCTGTACTAGTTACACTGTAACCTAGAAAAGAAAAAAAAATGTAAGGAGAATGTGTTGCACAGTCCTTAGCACCATGCATTAGTTCATGTGGAACAATGTAGATGTGTATCACTTTATACACTAACTGAGCATCTATTAACGTTCTATGATCTGACTTGATTGGCATTAGGAAGAATGTCTTAATGTTTTAACTCATCTAACTCTTCCCTACTTAATCCCAATTATGCTCTCCTAAATTATGTCTATATGCCTTATTTTCAGATATCACTCAACATATTTACATGCATCAACTTATACCATCATCCTTTCCACTATCTATCTATCTATCTATCTATCTATCTATCTATCTATCTATCTATCTATCTATATCTATATCTATATCTATATCTATATCTATACACACACATTCATCCCACACATATTTATTGGGAGGGTATCATGTGTGGTACTGCATTTCTACTTGAAGAATATACAACTGAACTAAAAACTCCATGCTCCACTGGGACAAAGTATGCATGTAATTTACTTGTCCTTAGTGTCAACCGTGTTTGTATTATAATGAATATTTGAAAAATCCTAAGTGAAAAATGTGATGATGAATTTAAATTGTGTAAATTATAAGAGAAAAAAATCCCATATGAGTCCTTGCAACAGCCAAGTTAAAGGACTAGGTTTAAATTGAAACTTTAGAATTCATATCCAGACAAATTTATGTTACAGCGGGCAAGTCAGTTTACCTACATGTGTTTTAGTTTCTCTCTGTCTTAAAATGGGAGTAATTAGTGTGAACATCAATCTTGGTAATTAGTGGTGAATACTGATAGTGAGCTGGCAAGAGTGAATAGCTGTGAGTTGAATGAATGGATAGATGATGAATGGATGGATACATGAACATATGGCTAGACAGATGCGCAGACAAAAGAAAGAGAAAAGGAATGGAGGATAAGCAAAAATCACCAAGGCAAAGCTCTGGGCATTCTGTGAGGAGGGATTGGTATTAGTTTAAATGAAGCACATAGTTGCACCTTAATTCTTTGTAGCTCTCTCTATCTTATGGACAAGATCCCTAAACTATAAGAGAAATATAAAGACAGATAAGGGCCAGTATTTACATCCATATTTTTCCTGACTTGGGACACTGCTGTATCTACTTTCTTGAAATGCTCTTTATGTGTGCTCCTTAAATTCTTAGAAGAGAATCTAAGAACATGGAGGCAACTGGTCTAGAAAGATATCCTTGACTTTGAAAAGGCTATAGGGAAATAAAAAATGGCTGAAGACATCCCCTAGGAAAACACAGACCATGCTCACCATTCACATAGAGACTATCTTTGTCCAATGTGTAGTTGCCCAGCTGAGTGACTCCATGGGTCAGATGGCTCATCTCTGAATATATTTCTTGTGTGTGCAGCCCAGGATGCTCAGAATCATGTTGGTAGGAGCAAATGACAATTACACTAGTGGAGTTTTGATTCTTCTCAGGCCTGAAAAGAGATGTGGGAACTCTGGAGATACCTTCATGTGGCTGAGTCCCAGGGAAAGAAGAAACAGCAGAAGGCTCATTAGGTACAGTCATTCCTGGAAAATGACAAGGAACTGGACTCACCTGAGAGAGGTCAGTCTGCAGCTTGGGTTGAAGGAGATATTCTGGAACAAGGGTGTAAGCTGTAGAGGAAAGAAAAAAGAAAAGAGTTGTATGCAGGATGTACAGGAACTTTGTCCTACAAGCTGTTTCCAGGATGAGGGTCTCACCAAGTATTGTAGAACACGCTCAGTGGAGTTGAACATGGCTGAGCTATAGTTCATGTCTTCTGAATAAGGAAGATTAGAGATGGTGAAATTGAGTATGACAAGCTTCAGATGGTGCTCCACAGCTGTGGGAAGACAGGAAGAGAGATCCCTATAACTGAGAGCTTGAAGATACTACACTAGATTCCTATACTCATCAAGTTATATATCCCCGTATACCACCACCTGTAACTGCACAATCCAAGCCAGAGCTGAACATCTCATCTCCGTGTCATACCAGTTCCCTACTGTGAATGTTCTTCATGTGTGCTATCTCCTTTGCCATAACATATCAGCTCTTATCTTCTCATATCCAGCATATTACACTATAAGATTCACTGTGTGTTCCAGCTAAGTGGATTTTTTCTATGATGAACACAAGAAAAGCATTTCTGAAAGGAAAAAATTCATTACAACACCTTCAGTGCTCTAACCACCTATGGCTCCCTTTGGAGTTTCAGTGTCAATTTCTTGTTTCATGGTTTGACACTCAAGACTCTTTTAATGTGGTTTCTTATGATTCCCAGACTCAGTTACTTATCAGTTCTGTGCCTAACACTATGGCCTTGTGGATACTGGAGTGGACATGGAGAGTCATCACTGAAAGCTGAGCTTCATGCTTCAAGAAAACCAAACTCCTCAAGTCTCTCCACTCACTTGCTCTTGTTGGCCCCTGAGTTCACACCATTGGAATATTCCTTCACATCAGCAAATAACAGTACAGGTGGATCCCCCCCCCCCCCCCCCCCCACCCCCATTGTGTCAGGTGCTTTTCACTTCACAAGAATCTCTCATTGTATTGTCATGGTCTATTCATCTCAGAAGCCTGGTAGTTGCATGAAGGGCAGGCATCTGATTGAAATGCTGGTCTAATATATGTTATTTTAATAATGATACTGGCACTGGATCCTCACACCATGGTTTTCCAGGTCTCATGTAAGTCAGGACATGGAAGTGTGGAGCAGGGCATTTCATCAAGTGTAGGAAAAGGCTTCCCCCAAATACCTGTGGTAGATTCTGGTTGTACAGATGTCAGTGTAAAAGGCAGGATGGTGGTGCTTGGCTCAGGAACTGTAAAAGAGGCTGTTAGCAGTGATGAACATAGCCCCTCCCCATACAGTCAATGAACTCTTCTAGAAGTGGTTCAAGCCAGACTAATCATTCATAAGTGGATCATAAACAAGAGTGACTATGTGAGTGTAGGGGCAACTAAGTCTCTGAATCAAATTTATTCAAGGCAATGAAAATTGTGAGCAATTTATCAATGTGAAGACAAATAAGGAAGTGATAAATTGATGATAAATGGCTCAAATGTGTTTCAAGAGGAACAAAAAATGTGATAAATGGGAGATATGGAGATCGGAATAAATGAATGAATATGATTGTTGGATGACAGAACAGGTAAATGAATTAGTGCTTAGATGGGTAAGTGGGTGCATGGATGGATGGAGAGATTGACTTAAGGATGAAGTGGGTGAGTGAGTGCATGTGGGTGAATGAATGGATATATGGGTGCACAGATGCATGGATGGATGGTTGGGTAGATGTATAGGGAAAAGAACAAAGGAAAAAATTCAAGTAAATGAACTAAAAAATAAACATGTGGATATACGATGAGAGTGGGAAAAATACTCTTCCCTAGGGAAGAGCACACTAATTGGCTATCCAATATCAAATAGTTAGTCCTGAAAATATAGATACAAGTAACATTATAGTAACATTATACAGACTAAGCAGGTCATATTTAGGAATATATACATATATGCATATATGTCTAACAGTAACTAATGAAAAGAAAAAGGCCATGAATTTGAAAGAGAGAAAGGAAGTTTATGGGTGGTTTTGGAGGGAGGAAAGGGAAAAGGAATGGGAGAAGTATATTACAATATACTTTTTTCATAAATAAAAGAAGAAAGTAAAAAATTACTATCTGACATAATTTTTTATAAGCAACAATCATATTAATTAATAATAAAGAAAATATTAATCTTTCTTCCTCCAAGATGAAGGACTAAAGGGAATTCAGAAATCTGATGCCATGGCTGAAGGGCAGATATAGGCCAGGGGCTCCCCTTTCTGCTACTAGCTCCACACAGGAGACTGACTTGTGTTTGGGGTTAGCTTCATTTGTAAGAGAGGAGGAAAGCCTTTACCAAGACCAGGTTGGCAGGATTTGATACTTACCTGTAGTAAGTATATCTGGACCAAGACCATTGTAACCTAGAAAACAAAAGTCAAGCATAAATGCAAGGTGCAGAATGATCTCATACACCATGCTGCCATTTATGTGGGAAATAGATACATAAACTCATGAACACTTATTATCTACTAATGTTCTAGGATCTTACTTAAATATTGTCATGAGGAAAAACTTCCTGATACTTCATTTAGACCCAACTCTTTCTTACCAGCTTCTTAGATGTTCCCAGAAGGAGTCCCTCATATGATTTATGTTCATACCTCAAAGGCCAAAGATATATTCTCATCTATGCCATTATCTACTTACCTCTCTCTCTCTCTC